CTTTTTTCTTTTTCTTCTTTTTATAGTTTGTTTATTTTTCAAATTGACATGTGTAGAGAAAGTGAATTGCTAACATAGAAAGCACATCTGGAATCCATCAGCAGTCCAGAGCTTTCCCATCCTCCCCTGCCTGCAAATACGCCTCCTTGGAATGGAGGGAAGGGAAGCACCCCAACTTGACAAGGTCTTACCTAGAGTGACACACCTTGGAACCACCTTTCAGAAGCCGTTTTATTCCTCCTCTGTAAAAACAAAAAGTGTTGGTGTTGAAATGCCTGGAGGTAGATGGGAGGTCCCAGTTTATGAGGATAAGTGAGGACCCTTAGGAACCATCTCAGTTGGGTAGATTTAAGGGGAGCTCAGGTGCAGGTGGTATACCTCCTTTGGGTGAGATGCGGTGGGAGAGGGGTCTGACGGGGGTCAGGCTCTATGGATGGACACAAGCCAGGTCTGCTTGAGGGCACAGCACTGTCAAAATCTAGATTTGTTGAAAGACCACTGCCAACAAGCCCATGTGTCTATTACAATATGACCCAGCTTTCTGAGGATGTATGAGACTAGCCAGCTCATATTTCTCAGTATTGGGCCTTGAGTGTTTAGGTGGAATTTAGGCAGTGATCAAACTTGTGCAGTGTCAGTGCCAGCCCCACACAGTAATCTGAAATAAAACAAAATGTGAGCATTTATAATTTCACCCTTTGGGGGGACTTCTCCTGCTCCACACAAGCACTCACTTGCAGGACACAGGCCAAGAACACTGAGCCTTTATAGGGACCCTCCACATCAGAGCCCCGACTGAGTACCAACCCAACAGGCTTGCAAATCAATGGTGCCACAGACAACAGGCATGTGCTTCTACAGGGACTTAGGCATCCAGAACACAGAGAAACCACCCTATATCCACAAATAGTAAACAGTGCATCCATCCAATCAGCATCTGTACACGTGACTGGCAGGAGCATCAGCTCCAGAGGAAGACCTGGGCACAACTGTACACTGTGGGACTCCTTTCCTGTGAAGGTCAGCAACAGACTGTACTCGAGATGAGAAGCCCAGACAGCGGTACCATTTGGGAGTGTGCAGTGGCTAGAGGGGGCTTGAGGGTACCCGAGGGGCCAGCATCAGGGATGTTGGGTTGGAACCCATCTCTGTGGGGTGAGACAGCTGGCCTCCTGCGAGGTGCTTTTGACCAGGCACAGCAACGTTCAGACACATATAAAATCAGTCTGGCCTTTAGCCAGCACTTGATTCTCAGGATGGGTCTACTTTCTAATGTTGATAATCCAAAGAAAATATGCTTTTAAATTCCAAAGACAACTGGATATCTTCCACTTATGGCAAATGTGGAGACTCACATTTAACAGAAAATTGTTCTGAAAAGAATATGGTCCTTGAGCAATGAATATTTAATTTAGAGAAATGATAAATCAAGCATTAATGGGGAAATATGTTCACCCTCAGAATTCATGGCTTTGAGTCGTCTCTGGCATACCTTATACTGGTTTTTTTTTAATACTGTTTTTATTGTGGTTATTTTACTGCTTGTTATTAGTTTTTATTGTTTCCTTGGGTGTTGTTTTTTTTTTTCTCTCTGCTCAATTTCATCAAAACTCTACATGCAGAGGGGAAAGAAAAGATGTCAGTCCACAGAGCTATTAGTCTGTTCGCCCTCTGCTCCTTACTCCTGGGGATGTCCAGATCCAGCAGGTTTAAAGGGACTCACTTCCCTTCTGTCTGGGTTTCATGGCACAATCAAAGGGCTCTCAGATGTCCAGAGAGGGCTATGAGGTACATAAATGGCATGGAGTTATCATGGGGTAAACTGAGACACAGAACACAAGCTTAAGATGTACCTGGTCTCAAAAATTTTTCCAATGAAGATGCCTGGAACCCCTTCTCCCACTTCTCCCATATTGGTGGGAGTTCACATACAATTTTCACCACTCATTTATTATTATCATTTAGACTGCCCTGGCGCTAAGTCAGTTATCATAATGCATTGTGTTAACCATATACATGCTATTATTAGTTCCTGGAATGGAAACTGCTGATAGGGAAGCAAATATTCAAGAGACATTTTAAGGCAAACTGGAAGAGCTGGTGTAGTGGGCAGAAGGGTGGCCACCTGGACATGGCAGCAGGTAGCCTGGTGTGGGGGGTGCACAGAGGGCCCTCGGGCCAGCTTGGGGGAAGGAGCCACACTCAGGACCCTGCTTCTTTATGACTCAGAGAAGCAGAACCTATGTTTCTCTTCCCTCCTCCTTTGCTGGGCCTCTTCCATGAACAAGAATACTTGTGGTGTTGTTGGCAGCACCTTCTGCGTGGGCAATGCTGAGTGCTCACTCAGTGGTTGTGCCCTTGGGGCTGAGCTCTCCTTCTGGGCATAGTGTCCAACAAGGCAGGGCCTGGATTCCTCATTCACTCCTCACAGATTAAGAACTCAAAGAGAAGCAGTAATAAAGGCACACACATTTATGGGACACCTGTTAATTAATGTACCAGGTACTGTGAGAAATGTGAACATCACAATGTCAGTGTGAAGATTAGATAAGCACTTAGGCAAAGGACTCTGAGACTGCCAGCTGCTGCTCTTATTTGTACTCTAAAAAACACAGATTGCAGTTTGTTTTAACAATGAGATATGCCATCTCAGAGACAAGTAACCAAGGGCTGGGCTGATTCCAGAAAATGTCACAGCAGATAGAATTTGACTTGGGCTTGAAGGACTGACAAGACTTAAATAAAAATAAGGTAAGGACAAAACTAGGAGAGGGCTAGTGGGAAAGCTGCCCACCAAGGTGACCTATCACTGTCACCTCTGAAGAACCAACAGAGGTCTGTTGTCCTTGGTGGGCCTCAGTCCAAGTTGGGGGTAGGAAGTTGTAGGGCTAGAGGCTGCAGGGCAGCCTTGCCTTCTGCCTTAGGCAGTAAGGTGCCCCTGGGTCTGGGTGGGCCACAGTCAGGGGAGGCAGCCCCAGGGCTGATCAGCAATGGAGGAGACTCAGCAGGTGCCCCCACCAGTCCTTCATTGCTAGTCCAGCCTCAGAACCTGCCTGCTATACCCTTCTGAGGTGAGAAGAGTTTTCTGCCACATTTGGCATTCAGGCTGACCTCCAAGTCCTCCATGGCCTTAGACAGCTATCATGGAGGGGCCAAGGAGGGGTTAGGGACAGTTCTAAGCAGAGCATAGGCATCAGCTCAGGTGCCAGGGCCCACAGGTTTTCCAGAACAAGTGGACGTTGAAGCTACTGGACACTGGAATAAATCCTCACAAAGAAGCAGTGGGGTCACCCCTGCCCAATCTCAGAGGGCTAGGTCCCCCCAAACTAATAAAAGGGGGGAAAGGCTTGGCAGCCTCCACAGGGCCCTGGGTACAGCACCTGAGGGACAGAAAAGCAGTTACCTGGAGGGTCCTGTGGTTAGGGGCCCTGGCTAAGGTCTTCTCTGCTTTTTCCCTGCAGAACAGCTGTCCAACTGACCACTGGGTCTTTCTAGGGACTGAGGCTTGTCTGGACCTCAGTTCATACCTGGGAATGAGCTCATTGGGTAGATGAGGCCTTAAGATTCCATTACATCCCAAAATGCAGAGCCCCAAGTCATTGGAGAGTAGTCCATTTGCCCTGATCCAAATTTAGGGTTGTGATTAAACATTTAAAAAGTACCAAAAAATGACTTCACTGGATACACACAGTGGGCTGTTTTAAATTAACCTCATTTGATTTTAGTTAGATATTTATATATTCAAATAATTTAAATTTGAAGTCAGTGAGTCCACTGAAAGCCCTTTCTACCTTAATAGTTGGGTCTGCTTCACCCTGGACATCACAGGAGGACACAGAAGGTGTGGGGAGTACCCAGGGTCCAGTGGAGGAAGGGTTGAAATTCAGGGCCATCCAGGGCCTGGCTCCTGGGTTCACCACCTTCACTGTCTCACTAGTGCTTCCAAGTTTCTTTTGAATTAGTTTTGGGGGCTTAGACAGTACCAGCTAATGTTCAGGCCTTTGAATTTTACCCCAAAGTCAGCATGCTTGTCCTTGCTTTCTCTTTTCTTCTTTAACCTCCGTGGAAGTTGATTCCACTTTTACAGGTTTGTATTCCTTCCTCCCCAAATCCACGCTCAGCTGCTCACTAGTGAATTGGTCACGCGGCCGGGCGGGGGGTGGGGGGACGGGAGGCGGAGGCGGTATTGCTTTGTGTCCTTCTGCTGTCCTTCCTTAGGTGGCAGCATGGTCCTGGGTTGGGGCTCTCTGCCTGGCAGACCTATGGGCCATATGGATCTGATTTCTGTCCTTGGCTCTGGTTGGTTCCAGGAGAGGCAATCTGGGAAGTGTGGGTGTTTCCCGTGATGTCACTCTAAGACTCACTAGAGAGCTCTCAGAAATCAGGTGGGCACCTTCTGGAATCCATCCTATTTTTTCAGCCTGAGATAATCCTGAGTTTCTCTTGTTAACTGAGAATAATAGTTTGTCAGCTCCTGTGTACTAAGTGAGGATTAACTGATAACATTTCCCTTGTGGCAACTGCAAACACCAAATCGCTTCCCAGGTCTTCCCTAATCATTTAGGAACTTGGCTTGTGTTAAATTAACCTCATTTGATTTTAGTTAGACATTTATATATTCAAATAACTTAAATTTGAAGTCAGTGAGTCCACTGAAAGCCCTTTCTACCTTAATAGTTGGGTCTGCTTCACCCTGGACATCACAGGAGGCCCTCCCTGAGCTCGTAAGGATCAGCTGTCAAAGTGCTTGAGCATTTTTGGTGCCTTTCTCCAGCTTTGCTGCCACCCTTTCTCTTAGGTGATGTGACCTTATCACTGGAGCACTCCTCGTTGTGGTTTTTTTTTGTTTGTTTTTGTGGGTTTTTTTTTTTCTTTTTGCAGGAGCCCAGTCTCAACACCCCAGCTGCGATCTGGCCAGGATCTCTGCAGAAGCCTCAGCTGGTCTTTATTAGAAATGGACGGTCCCAAGGCGCCCTCTGGTGGATTTCCAGCTGACCATCTGTGAATTCCAAGTGATGGCCAGGGTCCTCACACCGAGCCCCAGACCCTTTCTTTGGAATGAGACTCTGCACAAACATTACAACTACGTGGGCAAGCTGGCCGGCCGACTGAAGGACACCCCTGAGGGCAGCACCCTCACTACAGTGCTGTTCCTGGTCATCTGCAGCTTCATCGTCCTGGAGAACCTGATGGTTCTGATTGCTATCTGGAAAAACAATAAATTTCACAACCGCATGTATTTTTTTATCGGCAATTTAGCTCTTTGCGACCTGCTGGCTGGTATTGCCTATAAGGTCAACATTCTGATGTCAGGCAAGAAGACATTGAGCCTGTCTCCCACAGTCTGGTTCCTGCGGGAAGGCAGCATGTTCGTGGCCCTCGGGGCATCTACCTGTAGCTTACTGGCCATCGCCATTGAGCGGCACTTGACCATGATCAAAATGAGGCCATATGATGCCAACAAGAAGCATCGAGTCTTCCTTCTGATTGGAATGTGCTGGCTTATTGCATTCTCACTGGGCGCCTTACCCATTCTGGGCTGGAACTGCCTGAATAACCTCCCTGACTGCTCCACTATCCTGCCCCTCTATTCCAAGAGCTACATCGCCTTCTGCATTAGCATCTTTACTGCCATCCTGGTGGCCATCGTGATCCTGTATGCGCGCATCTACTGCCTGGTGAAGTCTAGCAGCCGCAGGGTGGCCAGCCCCCACAACTCAGAGCGGTCCATGGCCCTGCTACGAACTGTGGTGATCGTGGTGAGCGTGTTCATTGCCTGCTGGTCCCCACTCTTCATACTCTTCCTTGTCGACGTGGCCTGCAAAGTGAGGGAGTGTGCTATCCTGTTCAAGGACAAGTGGTTCATTGTGCTGGCAGTACTCAACTCCGCCATGAACCCTGTCATCTACACACTGGCCAGCAAGGAGATGCGGCGCGCTTTTTTCCGGCTGGTCTGCAACTGCCTGGTTAAGGCCCAAAGCACCCACTCCTCACCCATCCAGCTTGCCCTTGATCCAAGCAAAAGCAAATCCAGCGGCAGTAACAACAGCAGCCCCTTTCCGAAGAGCAAGGAAGACATTCCCCAAACGGTCACCTCACCCTGCATAACTGACAGGAACAAAACCCTGCAGAACGGGATCCTCTGCAAGTGAGGCCCAGTCTCAAGGCATAAAGGTCCTTACATCTCCATTAAAGGAGAGGCACCCAGCTGTGTGGCCACATGCTTATTTATTACATGCTCACCAGGGTTTCACCAGAGACCAGAGACTCAGGAAATCTGTGCACGCCTCCTAAGGCTAGAGCTCAAGGACTCAGCAACCCATTTCAGTGTAGACAGCACCTTGCCCTTTTTAGGTTCCAAGTTCTTACATATGTACCAAGCTGCTGATGTCACTGCCACCTTCCCCGACTCCCACTGGCTACTCTCTAGTATTCCTGGACAGGGAAGGTCATGGACCATACCATGTACAGCGTGTTTCCCAGGACATTGGGACGATGTTTGCGTAACTGCATTACACTGACTGTTCCCAGAACAGATGCTGTGTGCCTGTGGTTTGTAGGCTGCATAGCACTAGGGTTTCACCTGTCTACGATGGGCACATGCAGAAACTGTAGTACTCAGTGCAGTCAACAGGTAACACAAGCATGTTCTGACCAAACCACCAGCTCGGACAGAACAAGAACAGACCCCTGGACTATATCATCTTTCCAAGTTGCTGGAAACAGCCAACTGTTTAGTGGAAAATTTCTATTGAATTAGGACAGGTTTATAAGACAGAACATTGATCCTATGTTAAGTTCAATTCTATATCAGAAATGCACTAAGTCAGTAATCCCAGTGTTGTCAAAGCTGGGGAGCTGGGGCCAGCAGCAGTCTCATGACTTCTGGAAAGCTGACCCTGACAGGCACTGTTAGAGCAGTTTAATTGTCAGGAGAGGAAACATGATCTGGTGGTTTGTGCATTCTTCAAAGATATATATTGTAATCTTACCTTTCAACATAGGTCTAGCCTATATCACTCTATGTACCTTATAAAGGGATTGCCTGAGGGCATTTTTATGCATGCTCTTCCCCAGGGATTCTATATGAATACAAACTGATGAAAAGAAGCACACATCTGTAGAGCTCTCATAAGCATACAGTTGACATGTTGAGTTCTTTGTTAAAAAAAAAAAACAAAACCCAAAAGCAAAACAAACAATTTTCAAAAGGATCCTTAATTTGGAAATCTCACATAAGAAATCCCCTGATGTTTTTAGGCTCAGTGAGGATATTGCCTGAGTAAATACTAAAAGAGTAGTCATAACACATTAACTTTTTTAAAGAGAAATTGACTCCTGTTTTATCTGATTCAAGTTCCTCTTATTAAGGGATATTTCTGTAGCTGCAGAGGGATCTCCATGTACTGACCAAAGACTTTCCTCATTTTTATTACTGATGGGATAAATCCTATTTGTAAGATGTTCATCAGTGACTTTTTTTTGTTGTTACCTTCTTTATATCACTGGAAAGGAGCTTATTCTTTTACCAAATAACATAGGAAAACCCAGGACATTTCTAGAAAAGTTAAGCATTAAGATACTGGGTAAAAATGCATCACCCTGGTTGACTCAGTGGGTTGCATGTCATCCTGCAAACCAAAAGACCACCAGTTTGACTCCCAGTCAGGGCACATGCCTGGCTTACAGGCTCTGTGCTCTTCCCCCAGTGGGGTGCTTGCAGATGGCAGAAGACAACCAACTGATATTTATCTCCCTCTCTTTCTCCTTCCCTTCCTCTCTCTCTAAAATAAAATTTAAAATTTATTTTTTTAAAAAAAGAAAAATGCATCAGAGAGCCAAAATGTTGGGTATTACATTTTACTTTGGTCATGATATGACTTTAGAACTTTCTGTCTTGGTTCTGAGTTGCTTTGGGGCCCAAGATCTCTGGTGCTAATATTAATAACACTTTGCACAATAGCCACAACTTTCCTTTGAAATAACACAAAAGTGTTAAGCAATCTGAATGTAAAATACTCAAAAGAAGTAATTGTGTTCATTTGATATGTACAAAAATAATCAATTTTAACACCAATGTGTACACTCCTAACTAGCTAGCTAGAGATCATTTAGAAGTCAAGTGTTTCAAAGCCACAGGGAATCTGCCCATTAGATCTCATTCAGTTAGTAACCATTATTATGTTCCATGTATGTTTGTTAAAAAATAAAACCAAAAGCTTTTGTATAAACCATTGTTGGGAATCCACGTGGGGGCTGTGTACAAGGTGGCCACTTGGCCTCTCACCTGGTACCAGTGTCTCTTCAGGAGTCAAACTTCTCTCAGAACCCTGACCACCTTTCCACCCTATTACTCACCACTGGTGGATCTAGTGTTCAGTGTGGTATTCCACCAATTTTGATAGGTCAGCCTATTTGAAAAAGGTCAATAGAGTGCTCTTGGACAGGGAGAAGATTGTAGAAGACATGGCAGTCAGGGTAGGGCCAAGAGGTGGGTTGTTTGTTTCTGCTCCAATTACAAAACAAGTAAAGAGGTCAGAGTTGGCCCTTTTCCCAGCTTTATCCTTTATGAATGGTAAGTATTAGAATGTGTGTGGGGGGGGGTGTGCGTGTGCACACGTGTGCGCAGGTCTCCTGTGTTCTATAGAGAAAGAGGACAGAATTTGGCGTAACTAGTGTCGTGGTGACAGTCATGAATGAATCTCCCCAACACAACTGAGAACCAGTTCTTCTTTCACCTCTGATTCTGTTCAAGGCCCAACAGTGAACCTAAGTCCCCTCAGGTATGCTTCTGCCCTCCTGCCACTTTCTTTTCACACCTTCAGCCAATTAAGAAGTCTCCCAGAGAATCACTGAGAGCATCTGCTTTCTGTGCAAAGATTTCAAACTCCCTTCCTCTCTATTGAGGCAATACAAGATCCACCATCCACATGAGAGACTTTCTGTAATATTCTTTATTGCCCACAGGGTTTTACAACGACAGTCATTTAAACACTGGACAATATAGAAAACAGCTGTTATCTCAACTTTTGACCCATGGTTATACTGCGCTGACAAAGAGCTTTGCACAGAAATGTAACAAGGTGTATTTTATAGAAAACTTCTGATTAATTATGAAGCCCATGCTTTTAAATATTTAGGAGTGCAAAACCTCAACCCAATGTTTTAGTATCTAAGTCAGAGATCAAAGGGTTTGGTACATAGTCAGAAATGCACACACCACTATGGTGAAAATGAAGGCACATTTTCTGATAACCAATGATAAGTGCAGCATTGCCTACATGGGTGACAACCTCCCTCTCAGGCCACAATGATGACACTTGGGGATGCCAAGCAGCCCCTGCACTTGGCTGACTCAGAACCACGGACATGCCAAGTGCACCATTGAGGGCTTACAGCTGGAAATCACATCATATCCTGAAGGAGTAAAGTTGGTTCTCGCAAAGTGAGGAGGAAATTTAAGCCAATTTTCTTCCCTGTTGTACTGTCAAATCTCCCCAATGTTAGCCAAGTAGCTTCAGTATTACCATTTTTCATAGGGCAGAGATTAGAAAACTTGAAACCACTTTTGTATTTCCACTCCCCAGGGATTTCCAAAGGCCCATTCTGTTACAATATCAAAGTAGAAAGTGGTGAATTGGCAATAAACCCAGACAGAAAACTTTACAGTAATTCGTTTTAGTTTCACAAAAGTTAATGGAAAACCAAACACAACGTTTTTAAATAATGTTTATCAATATGTATAATTTGTCATCCAAATGCTTTTTTAAAAAGTAATGAATATCTTATTACACATTAAATTTATATGAACTTCTCTCCTAATCCTTGGACTTAAAGATCAAATGAATTAGTTTAAATCTGAATACAAACATTCACACACTTAATTTTATAATATTCTAGAACAAGTTATATTCAAAAGTCAAATGAACAGAGAACATTCCATTTGCAATCAACACATAGTTGTTACCAGGTCATTCAATTGTAAGGATGGATTTTCCCATTAATTTTTGCTCTAAGTCTCTGGATTCGGTGGTTAGAACCTCTGGTCATGGTGACATGTCCCAGATAAGTGTCTGGGCAATAAGTGTGAATGAATTACCTCAAACCTCAGGACAGCAGCATATATTCCCATGTGCAAATTTTTCTACCTATAGTATTTCAAGGTGCCACAACAAAACGGGCACTTAAACTAAGATTTCATTTCCCGCATGAGAATGGCTCTTCTAGCCCCCTGGAGGGAGCACTGTGTTTTGGGGGGCCTAAGGGATTCATTTATTTGAGGCCCCTGTGAACATAGGAAGGAAGAGAAAAGTGACAGTAGCAGCCTCACCTCCACCTCCAACACCCCTGCCAACACGAGCTGTTGTGCCTGTGTGAAGGTGTCCTGCCTCCTCGTGGATCCCTGGACCTTCTCTTCCTACACTAATGCTCCAGTCTCACCTACCCTTCAGTTTGCAAAGCCTTCAGAGTCCCCAGACCCACCCAGGATCTCCAGTCTCCACAGTACTATTGGACTTGGCCAGAACACTATCAGGCTTGTCACACCAACACCCTGTGCATGTTTACTTCCTACTGGATTACACTCACAGCCAGGCAGAACCCCATCATTCACTTCTCTATCCCAGGAGCCCAGCATAGTGCCTGCCACGTGTGAACTAGTGTACAGACAAGACCAAGAGCAAACTGGTTACAAACACTGAGAAATGCTGCCAAATACACAGCTGCTCCCTGCCTCCCACAGCATGTTGCATTGAGGGCAGCACCTGACAGTGCTTGTCCTTCTTCATTGGCCTCCCACAGACACTGCACACTGCCAGATGGATACAGGTCATTAGTCTGGAGTTGACTGTATGCCCCCTTCCTTTTATCTTCTCCTCCTCCACCTTCTAGTCCTCTCTTTTCCTCATCTCCCCCACTGCCCTCTCTTACTTCATATCCATCTGTTGTTTTCCACAGTGAGCTCCCCAACCATGACCCTCCTGTCTTTTTTCTGCAATAGCCAGGACCCTCCTCCAGAGGTCTGTGGATGCCAGAACACATCCCCAGACTCATAACATTTAACTTTCTAGTCGTTCTTGTTAGTCAAAATGTCAAAACCCAGGGAGGAGTCTCCATGTGCAAATTGCACAGTCAACCTTTATGTGCACACAGAGAGATGCACACCCATTAATCAATGAAGGTAGATGTAATGTATATATACACCTACAGACAGAGACACTCATCCATGGTAATCAATGCATGTATTGTATATGCACATATGTGTCTGACATTCGCAAATCCTCATATGAAGTTGCAATTTTTCTGGCTGCTATTAAATGCACTTGTTTTAAAACTCTTCATGACATTGCTTGCAAACTTATAGATATGTATAAACCCACTATAAATAAATTGTGGCTGGCCACTGGCATTTTATCTTCCAGCAATGATTGCATTGAGTTGTAAATGCTAATTATTAATCTTCCACTTTTACACTCACAGCAAGGACCCTTGGAACTATGACATGAAGTAGCATGAAAACACAGAGTGAGGCAAAAGTAGGTTTACAGTTGTAAGTATGTGAAACAGTGTGTTCCTGTATTATCATTTATTAATTATTGTATTAATTCCCATATAAACAACTATAGACCTACTTTTGCCCCACCCTGAATAATCATAGAGGAGGGGAAGTCATCAATAAGGGACATAAAAGAGTTGGCAACTCTCACATAATGGTGGTTCTCAAAGTCTAGACTCCTCACCAGCATCACTCATAGTTTATTAGAAATGCAAATTCTTGGGCCCCATCCAGACCCCAGGACAGACATGGAGTCAGAAAACATGTGTCAACAGTGTCCCCAAGCCTGGAGGCTTTTTTGGGGTGCCAAAAAAGTGCTGTCCCTCCCCCAGGCCTGCTCTTCCTTTACATGCTTTTTCTTCCACACATGGCTTGTCACTTTCTGTCCTCATTGGAATTATTAGCAGGGACCTTCTCCACAAGGAAACCCTCAGGACACCATATGTGTCCCAGTTGGGTCTTTGTCCATCTACCCCAACATCAAGACGGCCTTAAACAGAATTGTTGCTCAAGTAAAACATCGGTCAAGACTCAGTGTGAACCAGTCCTTTAGCCTCTCAAGTAAAAAACGGCCAGGAGCAGTAGCTTAGGAACAGGATGTAGAGTAGCAGTTGTCTCAATGCCTTGTTTACCAGCCTGCCCACTGAGCTATTCAGGGTCTCCTTGGTAGTCAAGCATCAAAGTTGACTTAAACCAGAGATGAGTGGCCTCACAGGAGGCCCACAGGCTCTCAGCGGGACCAAAGTGTCATTTGAAAAACAGGTAATTCATACAGGATGGTGCAGGTGGGAGGGGAGGTGAGTAGAGGGCCCCAGGGCCATTTCACAAACTGGGGTATTGTAGGACTGCTGGGCCTGCCTTGTGCTCCCAGCAGACACAGAGGCCTGGGTTGAGTGGCGGGGAGCCCATGAGAGAGGCAGCAGGCCTGGAGCATTCCATGGACCCAAGGTGGCTCTGCATGGCTGCAACATATGTGCCCTGGGCATTAGGGGCACTGAAACACCTGCCCAGTGCTTCTCTGTCTGCCTTTGCCCAGGCATAGACACAGTTAGAGAAACTGCTGGAGGAGGAACCCATTGTGGGCAGGAAGAAGGTTCCATCACATCTGCCTCCAAGTCCTGAGCTTCAAGCTCAGCAGAGCTGGGGAAATGAGGAATGGGCAGAATAGCTCTGCTGTCCACCAGCCATGAGGCCTTTAACAAGTTGCAGCCTCAGCTTCCCTGTCTGTGAGTAAGGCTCACAGTTATGCCCATCACACATGCCCGAAGGAAGAGATGAGCTGACTAGTGCAAGCTCTAACAAGCTTTACAAGTGGAGCAAGCAAAGACAGGAAAACCACAGCCATCTGCTGTGTCTCAAATCTGCTCCCCAGTGGCTCTGTTCATTGTAAGCAATCTTATAATCTGAGCTTTAAAAATGCATATTTTGAGTTTATATTGAAACAAACTTTGATCCCCAAATACTTTTAATTTTCTAAATTGATTCTCATACAAAAACCCCAACACACACACACACACACACACACACACACACACAGCTGATCACTGAGATAAACACTTACTTTAGAGCAGAGAGCCACTTAAACTGCAGGTTCCCAAGAGGAAAAGTAAAGCAGGTCAAGTGTTCAGGGGCTCACGATTCTTAATTCTCACTGCCTGCTTGCTCTTGCCCTGTCACACTAGCATTGCAGCCTTGCAAGTGGGGCATGCAAGACTGTAGAAAGGAAAGCTATTTTATCTGTTTTTACCTATGTGCATCGCACACACAGAGAAGGTTCATGCTTCCTCACGGAGGTCAGATGAGTATGTACATCTGCAGTCATCCAGGAGGGGAACACAGGGCAATTCTTCCCACCACCCCAAAGCCTGTGTTGTCACAGGGCAGGAGGCAGGGCCAACTGCTCTTCCACATCCCTATTCAGACTCCATGCTTCCAGGTAACTTGGAGCAGGACATCTGCACTGCACATGAAACTGGAACCATTCCTGGAAGCTGCAGGATGGCCTAGATTAGTTCCAATCCACTGTGGAACACTCTAGAAGATTGGAGCCCCTGTCGCCTTGAATTCACTGGAAACTCAAAGAGCAAAATCTCCAAAGAAGGCTACATATGAAGCCTTGAACCTGCCCTGACTCATCCTTCCCATCGGCTATCTCTCACCCTCCCATCCTGGCCACAAAACTCCAAAAGTAGAGATGGGGTTCACATAGAGGAATTTTGTAGAATTAGTACTCATCAGAATTTTTAAAATTGACCCTTATCTCCTCAGTTATGAAGCACCAAAGTTAGTACTATTCAAGTCCAAGTGAGTGGGGAGCATCTCTGTGCCACACTGATCAAGGAGGTGGGCACGCTCTGGGATGTTGCTGGGACAGGGACCAGCATGGCAGCACCAATGAAAAGGTGCCAGTACACAAATGAATCCTTCTATCTTTTAAAAGCCATCTGTTCAGTCACATGGTGGTCTCATCCCAGGTATATTTTAAAGGTCATAAACAGGTCAACTTCCCAATACCAAAAGATCCAGCAGGAAATCACAGTGTTTTATCTCAAAGGACGGAGACAACACTCAGCATTGTGTGTGGCGCACACCTTTACATGGAGCCATTGAGAAACCTGTTATAGAGATAATCACCCACTTTACCCACCAATTGCTCCAGAAGCAGATCTTCAAATTGATTCTCACAAACACACAGCTTCAGGCAAGCATGGGCCCAGGAGAAATGACTGGCTGTTGCCAGTGTCTCCAGGAGAGAACTGTGAGCATGTGTGCCCTGTCCTTGGCACAGCTCATACATGTGCTTTTTTTCTCTACTGAATATACGAGGGTGAGGGACAATTTTACCAACAGCTACTGAAACAGCCTGGAATCAACTGGTCGACCAGAAAGACATACAACCCTATGCTTAACCCAACCACCCCTCCATACTAACTCATTTTGAGGCTTATTTTCACTACTCTTCATTAGTGAGCCTTATTTTATGCCATATTTGACAGCAAAATGCATTCCAAAGAAACCCTGGACAACCAAGGTCATGGGGAACAACACTCCTGGGCTCAGCATGAATCAAAACAACTGACATGACACCTACTCCTTAGAGAAGCTACCACAGCCCTCTGGTCATGGACACCCCATACACTCAGGTGTGATGCAGCCATCCAGGGAGTCTTCTTGGAAGAGAAGCAGCAGACATCAGAACCAGCATCACACTGCTTTGCATGCAAACCTAGACCTCTTTGGGTAGCATCTCGCCCGATTCTATTACATCCCTGTGTCAATTACCAACTCTCTTGCTTGCTTATACTCCCCATTTTGTGCTTGTTAGGTAAACTTCAGGTAAAACCTTCTTAATGGACTTTCCCAGTAGAATGGGTCAGTTGAAGTAAATTTTTGCCCAGACGACTACAGTCAAGCATTTTTTCATTAAAAACATACAGCACAGAACAATAGTCTTACCTCTTTCTTAGTCTTAAAAAGTAGAAATATAGAGGGATCATTTGTACAGGATGTATAGGTATGTACACCTTTACTATGCACATGAGAGATCAGAAGAAATTTATGAAACCTGCACTTTATGAACACTTTCCTCCTGGGGCTTTGGAATAAGGCTCTGAGCCTTCAGGCAGCTGCCTGAGTTCCTGTAGCCTGATACGCTTCTACCAGGAAGAACTGAGTCCTCCTGACCATGGTGCAGTGTCAAGACAGGGCTACTGGCTGGTCACGGGTTCCTCTCCACAGGCTGCTGGAGGCACAATTCACTCCCGGCAGAGACAATGGGCAGACTGTTCTCCAGGTGGTGATTGATGAGGTGGCTGATGCTGTCAAAGATCCTGTCCTTTGTCCGGATCTGTGAAGGATATGGAGAGAAGGTTAGTATTACCCACAGGCAGAAATAAAAGAACATACCTTGCTTGGTGTCAGCCATATCACCTGAACTTGAGGGTCACTTCCTGGGAGCCTGGGAGCACCCAACACTCTCAGAGATGATGTCTTCAAAGTCCTTGGTCACTATTGCTGGCCTGTCTATTCAGTCTGCTCATCTGTCCACTCCTCTGAGACTGAGCCAGAGACTGAGCCAGAGCCTCCGCCACCTTCAGCAACAAGGTGCCATGGTGAGCTCACTTGCTCCCTACCAACCTTCTCTTCCCTTTTTCCCTCCTGACCTCATAGAGTCCACCACAGAAACCTCAGACTAGCGGTCCTGCACCACTCACTGAGATCTGCAGGCTCCCATGCCCTCCCACCTGCAGGCTGTTGTATGGCAGTCCCTGAGGGCTACCCCCCCCCCCACACACACACACACACTCTCTCTCTCTCTGTCTCTCTCTCTCTCTCTCTCTCTCTCTCTCTCTCTGAGCTGGCACACCCCAAGTATAGATCACACTTGAACAAGGCAGTAAGAGGCCTGGTCAAGAGTAATCTCCCAGTATGCTCTGGACACAGCTCCCTGGGGCCTCCTTCTATGAGGGTGAGTTGCAGATGAGGCAGAGAGCAGGTGCCTGGCTATACCCATTCACCCTCCAGGCCTTTAGATGGCCCTCATGGTGGGTCTGGGATGCCTGGATGCCCCGGCCCCTCTCCCTACCTTATGGTTGAGAGCCCATCCCTCCATTGTGACAATCAGCTATCTCTCACCCCTCCCTCAGGAACTCCAAGGACATGTTCATTCTCCTATTGACCTACTTGTCCTAATATTCCCCTCTCCCCAAGCTCTTAATCTACCCGCTTCCCTAAGGTAGCCACTCTTGCCTCTCTCCCTCCATAATCTCACCAATGGGATATTGCTCTCTGGACCTTCAGCCCCAGATTTCACTTCTACCCCAAATCTATGTTCAAAGTGTACATATCAGAAACCCCTACCCAAGACATCTGCTCTAGGATCTACCAATTAGTGGCAATAGCAGAAACTTTGAAATTAGGATGTCTTCCTCTCCTGGGATCCAGTTCTGAAGTGGGCTTCATCCTCACCCATCTCTGTAAGCACCAGAGGGGAAGAGACCTCTCCGGCCTGACTTTTGGTCATTAAGCCTCAGTAAAAATAATAATGTCATTGACTTATTCAGAAATTAACTTTTTTGGAGGACTTTCTGGCATCTTTCCATTGAGGTTGTTTAATCCTCCTGGAGCTCCTTAGAATTCCTGGCTCAGAAAGACCACCTGAGTGACATGGGCTAGCAAGCCCTTCCTTGGAAGCTGGGAGCATTCAGCTCAACTTGAGACTAGTACTGTCAGCATGTTGCCTTGACATGGACTTCTTAATCTCTCTTCTTAACAATTAACACTAATGTAATTCTGGGGTAGCAGGGGTAGATTAATGATTTATGACAGGAAAGTGTCTGGGACAGTAGCCTTAATCTGGGTGCATGTCAAAATCATTTTAGGAGCTTTGGTAAACCCCACCCAGACCAACTCCTTCAGGAACTTGAGGTGGGGAAACCAAAATTCTGATAAAAAAAATAAAAGAATAAGCAGGGAGGTAGGTCACGTTCATGGATACAAAGACTCAATATTGTCAAGATGTCAGTTCTTCTAAACTTGATCTATACATTCAATGCAATCTCAATCAAAGTCCCAACAACTTATTTTGTGTATATTGACAAAATGATTCTAATTTTTATATGGAGAGGTAAACCCACAATAGCCAATTTAATATTAAAGAAGAATAAAGTTGGAGGACTGACACTACGTGCTTTCAAGACAATAAAACCAAAGTAATCAGGATAATGTGGTATTGGCAAAGGAACAGAAAAACAGATGAATGAAACAAAACTGACAGCCCCAAAATAAACCTCCGTAAATATTGTCAACTGACCTTTGATAAAGGAGCAAAGACAATACAATGAAGCCAAGATTATCTTTTCTTGATGCTGGAACAACTATACATGACATGCAAAAAATGAATCTAGACACTGACATTACACCTTTCAGAAAAATTAACTCAAAATAGATGATAGACCTAAATGTAAAAAGCAAAACTATAAAAGTCTTACAAGAAAGATAACAATAGAAAAAACCTAGATGACTATGGGTTTCATGATGACTTTTTAGATATGACATCAAGGACAAAATTCATAAAAGAAATAATAGATTGGACTTCATTAAAATTAAAAATGAGGACATGGAACAACAGAATCCCTCATTCATTGTTGGTTGGTGAAAATACAAAGTGGTTCAGCCACCTTAGAAGATAATTTGATGTTTTTTTACAAAATGAAACCTATAATCTTATATGATATAGCAATTGCACTCCTTGGTATTTACCTAAAGGAATTGAAAAGTTATATCCACATAAACACCTGCACATGAATGTTTATAGCAACTGTAGTCATAATTGCCAAAATTTGGAAGCAATCAAGACTTCCTTCAGTAGATGAATGGTAAACAAACAGTGATACATCCAGACAATGAAATATTAAGTGCTAAAAAGCAATAAGCTATGAAGCTATGAAAAGAATGGAGGAATCTTAAATGGATATTACTAATTGGAAGAAGCCAATCTGAAAAGTCTACATACTATATGATTCCAACTATATAACTGGAAAAGGTAAAACTATGGAGACAGTAAAAGATCCGTGGTTTCTAGGGTGAGGGAAACAATTATTCCCCTCAGAGGCAGAGAGGATGATTTTTAGGGCAGTGAAACTATTTTGTACAATACAATAATGGTGGCTACATGTCATTATACATTTTCCAAACCCGTAGAATGTCCAGCACCAAGAGTGAACCCTAATGTAAACTATGGACTCTGGGTGACGATATGTGTCAGTGTAGGTTGATCAGTTGTAACAGATCACTCTGGTGGGATGTTGATAATGAGGGAGGCTGTGCATAAGTAGAGGCAGGTGGTATGTGGGAAATTTCTGTACTTTCCTCTCAGTTTTGCTGTGAATGCAAAACTTCTCTAAAAAATAAAGTCTATTTTTTAAAAAGAGAAGACTAAATATTCAAGTTAATAGTGTGGGGTGGGATAAGTCTTTCAGGGGAAGCAGCTGGGGAAACAGGATAAAGTTTCCAAAGGAGAGAGGGCAACATCTTTGAACAAGGCTGCTTTGGGGTTCCCAGAATAGTTTATGGTAAAGAATTTCTACTTTGGTTTGATTTTTGTAAATCATTATTCCCAAAAGTGTGTTACCTTTTTAAGGCAGGGATCCTCAAGGTCCTACGGCAGCTCAATGAAAGTATACTTCTCCTTGAGGCAGGGACAGGAATGTATGCTCAGCACCATAAGTTATATGCCTCCCCGCCTCCCACAGTGTCCCCAATGGGAGGTGCACAGATGGGGGCCGGAGGCAGTGAGTCTACCACAGGACCTCAGTTTTAAAGTAGAATGTCTAGGTTTGGGGTTTAGATGGCACAAGAGAGACCAAGTGAAGTCTCTGAGCTCCCCGCATGACTACCTCATTTATTCTTTACCTTTCCTCCATCAAGGTTGAATAATCAGTGTGGACATGTGTCGGGAGGGGCATTGGGAGCCTGGTGTCCAGTCTGCACTTTCTACCCTAGTGAACATTGAGAGTGCCCAGCTGTAGAAGAAGGAAGTGGTGCACATGAGCGCCACAACAATGTGCTGAGGTTTGGGGTAGTGCAGGGAGCCAGTTATCCAGGGGGTCAGAGGAGAGGACAGCTAAGTGGCGAGCCTTGTTGGACTGCACACAATCACATCACACGTGAGCATCAATTCCCTCCCAGGTATGGGGCAACTGAGCCAGCCCATTGGAACTCCAGCAGGGATGAGTTTGTAACCTTTTGTTCAATCAGGAAGTATAACAAACGCAACAAATCCACCTCCAAGATGACTTTTCAGGAGCTTTGTACCTGGATAAAACAAAACAGAGTGACTCCAAATTTAGTATTCTTGGCCAGGAAACCCACTCTGGGGCCTTCTAGTCAACCACCATAGGCTCAGGCTCACCTCTACGAAGTCTCCGGGATAAGTCACTGCTCTGAAAACTGAAGAAAGTCCTAATTCACCTGCTAAAGAAGGAGGGCTGGGACCGATGCACTCAATTCACCCCCAAAGCAATCTGCCCATTAGCGGCCTCCATGACCAGCAGCCAGCCCACATTCACCCAGCAAAGCTAACCTGATACCTTTGTAAAAATCCATCAGCACAGAGTAAACTAAGAGGAGAAGCAAAGAGTCGTGTGAGCCGTGGCTTTTCCTCAGGCCTGGCTGGGCCTCTAGACCCAATGGAGGCTGGATGCTCACCTGTCTTGGGCCCCTACAGGTGAGGTGCTGCCAGTCTAGCTAGGGTGAAAGTGTGTGCCTCTGGTGCCCCTTGTGGCCAGCAGAACATGGCGGCAGCAGAGGGAAATTTAAAATAAGAGCTGGAAGGTTCCATAAGGACTGTCTGGTGTTGCCCTCCCCAAACATCTTCTTCTTAGCCATGGAACAACGTTGTAACTAAAGCACATAATGTACATCCCAGGATTGAGAAGGAAAGAGACAGGCTCAGAACATACAAGGTCCCTCACCTTGCTCCAGCAACTGTGAGAAGCTGGACTTGTCACTTGATGACAAGGGGTCATGTTGCCCCTTCAAAAGGGTCAGACTGGAACGAACCATATCATCAATAGAAATGTTTCCTGATTAAAACTGGCTCTGCTGGAACAGGCTGCATACACAGAGTTGCTGTCCTTAGTCTACTGTATCACCATTGGCTGGATCCACAGGGAGACTTTCATCCCCAAAGGCTCGTGCCTCAGTACAGCCTAACCTATGTGGGATGCAGCCCACTGTAGTCACGTTGCCTGGCCTCTCCCAGATTTGAAATTAAGGCAAGATCCAGGTCCTTCTTAGGTACAAAGTCTACAGTGCCAGGCCCATGTCAGCCCCCAAAATACAATG